GTGTTATTGGAAACAAAAATCACCATAAGGCTCTAATGAAGACTACATATATATTAAAGCAAATAACAATCCATCAATTGTTATACATCAACATCTATACTTAACAAACAACTTAAGAGTGACATATTTAAACTTACTCCTCAAAGCAGGGGGATAATATGAACTTGTTTCCCGCACGCATTGATTCTCTAATACACCGCTCAAGGTAATCTACCATATCACGAGGGTTATGTAAGCATTTGGTTATGGAGGTCTTCTCGGGGCATAACCACCCAACTGCTGCCTCACCATCGGGTTTACTACTTAGGAGCTCCTGTAGTGACCTTTAAGAAATTAACGTGGGCAAATAATTACTATTTGTATTGTTTTGGTACAAAAATATCAAAAATACAATATGTATAGTCACATTAATTTACCTCATGAAAGTCTTAATGATGGAAATGTTAATCATGGAACCGGTTAGAAATTCCGTCACATCCTCTCTGGAAATGTATGTGATCGCATACTCATCGTAGTGGAACAATGCCTTAGGCAAGTTGACTTGAATATGTCTATCCGTAGGCAACTCACTAACAGTGGAGTACAAGAAAAGTACATGCTTTCGAAAGCGACTTAAGGACATCGACTTCTACTATTGGAGTACAAGAAGCTCTCGAACTCTTCTTCGACACTTGTCCTTGTTCCATGTTCGGAGGACATTCTTCCTTGGATTTTGGCTTCTCTTCCTTCTTCCTTTTAGCGGACTGATTTTCCTTTGTAATCTAGTTACATAAAAGAACATGGTCATTGCACAAAGCATATAGTAATCTAGTTACATACAACTAGTGTATACTTACCCCTCCTACCAACCTCAGCCGATGATGTGGCCATTGCACAAAGCTATTGGTCGCATCACACAGCTTAAAAAAATCATATTCCTCTCTAGGCACTGGTAGTGGTAAGTCCTCAAACCCAACAAATATAGAATTGATCCCGACCGAGATATAGTGGGGGCTAGTATTAGACTTGAAATGGACCTTGTCAAAAGGTTTTGCACTACCATACCCCACAACCTGCAACTGTCCATCCTTTTTTTCCCCGGGGTGAAGAAGCTCACAAGGCGTCTCTTCCTACACATTTGATTAGAACTTAGGACATAAGTTATGAAATAACAAACGAAAGCCTAACATAAGAAAATTTGATTAGGTACTGAAGTTTACCTTAACATATGGAAAAGGTTAAGGCATCGTATTTGCTCTCTTCATTGACTCTGCATCCATAGGACTAGGAACCTGCAAAAGTAAAATAATTAAGCATGAAAAAGACCTCGTTTGACCAACTTCATATGACGTAATTTGTCCTTGTACTGAAATTACCTCTCTCTCAACTACAAGATCGTCCTCGGGGCCTCTGGGTGACTACATGAGTCCACTGAGGTACTCGAGGGTAATGGAGAAATCGGCAAGTTCATGTGCTTTAGAATGGCATTGAATTGACTTTGCATCTGTTCTTGCAGCTCTTCGCGTATCTTCGCCTTGATTGATTCCTTTTCCTTCTCATCTATACGATGTGGCGAATTAACACTTGATCTGCTTTTTCCTGATCTGGTGTATTATGAACCCATCACCTTCTCCCACCCTAGTTGTTTCCCGCCAGAACCAATTACTCGCCCAGGGTGGTATGGTTTTCCCAAAGCTAAGGTGAAAGGATCTTTTTCAATGCTTGGAGTGAGCTTGCCTTCAATCACTTCCGATGTATGCTCGAGATGTGAATGTGGAAGAAAGTGGTTTCTTAGATGATGACATTATGGATTTGGGGTATAGACTCTCTTTGATCCACTTTGGTCTACATTCCGCAAATGTCTTACAACCCATATGATGGCTACACAATTTCTTCCCGGCATTGATTCTAGCTTGTTCACTTTTTCCTTACACATTCAAAAACATATGTTAGCATCAGTATTTGTTGTAAACATAAATTCAGTAGCCTACTCTAGTGATAAATAAAAATATACAAGTGCAGTTCTTGTGGAAGATTTTTCCACAAACTTCTCCCTGTCCTTCACTGTTATTTGTGGATATAAATCCCACGGTTTCTTATCAGGTTTCTCCTCTTCTTCAACAACAGTCACATTTTTCTTTTGTCTTTTCCTTATTTTCTTATGGACCTATCTCGTTCTCAAGTAACTTTTGAAGTTTTTGAATCACTCTTGTACAAAAGCTTCAAAGAAATTTCTCTTGTCTGGCTCATCAGGATTATGTAACAGATTGGTAATAGGCGCAAAAATCCACGTTAGGTAAGGCAAAATAAAAAAATCAACATAATAAAAAAAATGCAAATCGAGGCAGCTACAGCACTAAGGCTACTGCCAAGGCAGCTGCACCAGCCCAGGCAGCAGAACTAGCCCAGGCTGCTGCCCAAGCAGCTGCACCAGCCCAAGCAGCAGCTCTGGCAGCTGTAGCACCCAGGCTGCTGCCTAGGAAGCTTCACCAACCTAGGTAGCTGAACTAGCCCAGGCAGCTGCATGTAGCAGGCCTCGGGTTATGCTAGTGCATGTTATGTGCAGGTTATGCGCTATGATTCTAAGCCCGTGAGTGAGTTATGCGCTATGTTCCTAACTCATCTTACTTACCATTGTATTGTTCCAAAATGTTTGAAGCAACCCGTGAGGTATATCGGCCCACTCAAGTGTGATGGGTATTTTACGAGTTAGCATGCCAACTTGACTAGAAAATTTGTCGCGCCATTAGCCAGTAGGTTGACCTAACTCATGAAACTCAAGCACCATGGGAACCCCGGGTTTCTTGAAAGATTTTGTTGCACCCCTACTCTTTCTGTTCATCGGTGCCTTTACCCCTCCTCCACCACCGGTTGTTTTAACTTGACTTTGCTTTAGAGTTTTACCTTGTAAATCACCTACAAACTTGGAAATCACATTATCCTGAATAGGTGGGGCACTTTCAGCTATACGCTCATATTCATCAAGCTTACGTTGCAACTCGTCATAAGCTTGGTCTTCCGGTTCCCCCAAATTTGTCTCCTTATTAATATCATACAACTCGTCATCATCTTCATCATTGATCAGGATTCATGATATATACACTCCTACAGTAACAAGCAAAGCATGTTGTTAGTCATCAGTAATGGCAATCAAATCTGAGGCACCAAAAAATCCAAACACTTACCCAACTTCTTTGTTTTCATAACAAATTCACATATAATCCTCTTAACAATTCTTATTTAGTGTATATTACATGCTTATACGTCAAAAATGCAAAAAAGTAAAATACTTCCTGAAATAAATAAGGTTGTGGGAGCGAAAGATATTTAGTAATTAAAACATGCATCGATAAAAGTACCTCATTCGAGTTCACAATTCTTATTTAGTGTATATTACATGCTTATACGTCGAAAATGCAAAAAAGTAAAATACTTCCTGAAATAAACAAGGTTGTAGGAGCGAAAGATATTTAGTAATTAAAACATGCATCAATAAAAGTACCTCATTCGAGTATTCCCCATTGTGGTCAGATCGAATATAAGTAGCATCATCGTCTACATCAAGTGTAGGAGCAGTGAAAGGGGGAGAATCATCTAATGCATCATATTCTTCGTCCTCTTCAACCTCTTTAACCCTTAAAATTCTCCTTTTGCCAACAAGGACAATGGACCATTTTGGATCGGATGGGTTAGTTACATAGAACACTTGCTTAGCTTGAGATGCAAGGATGAATGGTTTTTAACTATCCCGCAAGTGGCCAAGGTCTAGAAGAGTGAAGTCGTCATTTCTGACGTTGCGCCTATTATTATCGACCCATTTACACTTGAATAGACCTACCTTGAACTCACGGTAATCTAGTTCCCATATTTCCTGAATTCATATGTAGTATGATAATAGTGCGTCAACTGGTGATGTATCTTACGCACTTGCAAACTCTGTTGATGAAGCCACAAGAGTGACACCACTATTTTGAGTCAATGAGGATTTTTGATCCTGACTCTCAGTTCAGAATATGTACCCATTTATGTTATATTCTTCAAATGAATGAACATCTTCCTTTGGACCATAAGCTAGCCACTTTATTGTATCAGACACAGTCTCATTCAATTGCTGCATCACACGATCATGGAACCACTTCACAAACATCTTATTATGCAACTGCATTAGTGCTCTTTCCCCTTTTGATGGAAATTCAACATGCAAACTATCCATGTGCTCTTCTAAATATGGGAGAACGTCCGCAATATGATGCAGCACAAATATGCGAGCTTGCAGGATTTGATCTCGAGCAGCCTAGATCATTTTTGATCTGATTGTGCCATGACCATCAAGTCTCCCTTCATGTCGGGAAGTGGGAAGCCCAATAGGTTCTGCAATAGCAACATACTCTGCCACGAAATTCCCAATATCCTCGGACACAATTCCTTGTATCATACTACCTTCCGGTTGGGCTGGATTTCTGAGCTTATCTTGTAGTGTACCCATGTGTCTTTCAAAAGGGTAGCACCACCTCATAAAGACTGGACCGTACAACTTAATCTCACGAACCAAATGCAGAATCAAACACACCATTATGTCAAAAAGTGACGGTGGGAAATACATCTCAAAATTGCACAAAGTCACAACAACATTCGCGTGGAGAGCATCAATTGTAAAGGGATCAAGGACTTAGCTGCAAATAGTATTGAAAAACCCACAAAGGCTTGTAATAACACTACTACAAAAAAGGGCAAAGAGACCCGTTGAAATATGCATGAGAGACCGCTTTTTGACGGGGCTCTATCTCAGGGGTCTCTTTGATTAAGAGACCCCTTCTCATGAGGGGTCTGTTTTTGCGGACAAAAAGACCCGTTGTCAGTGATCACGGGTCTGTTATCTAAGTGATGAGATTGATAATTTAGAAGAGAAAGAGATCCATTGTTTGAGATATGGGGTCTGTTTGGTTGTATGAAACAAACCTGTCAAGTTAGCTAACGGGTCTCTTTGTTCTTTTTTTTTTTTTAAAAAAAGAAAACAAAAATTTTAGAGATTTGCATTTGAATTATTTTTGTTTTAATGCGCTATACAAATTGGCAGAATTAATGAGCTAAATTATATAGTGGAGTTTGTAATTTGTATACTTAATCTGTACGTAACATCAATAATACGAAATAGCAATGAACTAAATTAAATTTATGAGATAAAAAAAAATCAACAAACGTAAAATCCCAACAATAAAAATTGGTCAAATTTATTAAAAATAAATTTATATTTACAATTAAATCAAGACGACTTCAGTACTCCATTTTCTACCTCCGTATTTGGGAGTTTTTGTGTTTTTTGATGACATCCAGTAGACCTGACAAAACAAAATTACAAAATTGAATGATTATAATTGAGAATTCCACTAGAAAACTGAAAAATCAAATTTAATAAAGAAAAAACAAAGTAAATAAGATATGCACAACAAATTCGAAGCGTAATTATAAAATTTAATTGAAAAACATACTATCAATTGCAACTCAAATTCATTGAATATCACATACCCATGTCCTCATTTATAGCACATGCCTTGTAGAAATCATCAATCACTTCCTCGCTGAAACTAACTTGTAATTTCCGGAAGCAAGCTTTTAGCTTCGTTATTATCGACATCTTCCGATTAAGAATTGATCCCATCACATTCAACAACCAACCAGGTCAAGTTAGATCTATCTAGGATTATGACTCAAAACATCAAAACAAAGACATTTAATTGAAATAAAATACCAAATTGTTGAAAGATAACCTTGCATTTCCTAAAGCCTTGATCAATTTTAAAAAAACAAAGACATTTAATTAATTAGATTTTAAAAAAAACCAAAATTCTCAGAGGCATTTCAACTACCAGTAGGATTGCAAAGAAGATAGAAAATATACCAATAGATTAGAGTTAAACAAAAAATAAATTCAACCAATTCAACATTCAAATAGAACAAAAAAAACCAAAAATAATTACCACCAACACCGCCAGACCACCCAAAAAAAACCCCAGCCACCGACGGAAAATCTCAAATTTACTCCACCTTAACCCGAAATCACCATGAAAATACTAAGTCACCCAGCAAAAAACCTGTAATATTATTAAATATAAAATAGATATGAAATTTTACCTTTTTAAACACTTCAATTTTGATTATTTGGCCATATTAACCATCAAAACTCCAGATCTGGAGTTTGCATGGTCAAAATTGTTCTTGAAAGCCTTAAATTAAGGTTTTATTGACGATGATGAAATAAAATAAGGAGGTAGCAACGACGACGTTAAGTAGAAAGAGAAGACGACACCGATATTGAGGAGGAGGAGGAGGAGGAGGAGGTAGCGACGCGGGCATTGAGGAGAAGGAGGAAGCGACATCGGCGTTAGGAAGGAGGTGGCAATAGTGTGTTTTTGCTCCAGGAGAAGTAGAAGTTGATAGGAGTGGAGATGAGAGGAGAGAGCGGCGTGAATGGGGGGTGTGGTGATGGAAAATGCAAGTGAAAGAAATAGGGTTTTGCTGTTAACTCAAATATAATAAAAGTTGCTTAATTAGTGGGCCCTTACATATATAAGAGACCCGTTAAGTCAACTATGGGTCTTTTATTTTTTTTCCTTCCCTATTTTCAAAACTAATGGTGGGCCCTATGATATATAAGAAACCCGTTATCTCTAGTATCAGATCTTTTATATTAAAGAGACCCGTTGTATTAATCAACAAGTCTTTTATTATAGATCCCTTTTCCCATTTTTGTAGTAGTGTAACTTCTCTCACGTGCTTTAGTAAAATACCACGAATTGCAATCGGTAGGAATACTTGCATCATCATGTGACAATCATGGGATTTCATACTTGTCAACTTCAATTCTCCATTTAAGGAAACAAACTTTTTCATGTTTGACGAGAACCCAAAGATTAATGTCATAAAAACAAGCACAAAACCTTCGTTTTTCTTCCTTTGATAAAGTGTAGCAAGCTGGAGGTAAATACACCTTTGGGTTCTTGCCATTTCCGTCACCTTTCTTCTTTGAGATATCCGTGGCCTTTTCCTTGCGCTTCCCCTAACGGTTTTGTCCACCATCTTTGGTTCTCTTTTCCTTTACCTTTGCCTTCCCTACCTTTGTTTGAACCCACAATTCTGGACGAACACCCCACGCTGGCAAATCTGATTGCGCACTGTTTCCATTCCTTCGTTTTTCCAGGAATTTTCATAATTGTCCCAATAATTGCACCACAAACATTCTTCTCTATATGCATCACATAGAGACAATGTCTAACATCATGTTCTTTCAAGTACTCAAGCTTCCAAAAGATTTATTCCTTTTTAAAGAGAGCATGTTGGTCGATTGGTTTCGTTATTTTACCAAAAACACATGGTATACCCTTCACTCTAGCATAAAGCTCCTTTCCACTCAATAACGTAGGCGTAACCCCCTCCTTAACTCCCATTGAAGGCCTTTTTCTGCTTACGATATGTGTGATCGCGCCTAAGAAATCTACGGGTCCTCACGTACACATATTTGCCATAGTGATCAAGGTAAACGTTCAGTGTATCATCGATACAAATAGGACATGCTTTATTCCCTTTGTTCTTGTACCTGGACAGGTTGCCATATGCGGGAAAATCATTGATGGTCCACATAAGAGCAACACGCAATATAAATATCTCGTTCTTATGGGCATAAAAAACGGTAACTCCTTTGTCCCACATCTTGCTCAAATCATCAATAAGGGGCTCAAGGTAAACATCAATGTCATTTTTAGGTTGCCTTAGCCTCGCTATCAAAAGTGAAAGCATTATGTATTTCCGTTTCATGCACAACCACGGAGGCAACTTGTAAATCACTAAAAGTACCGGTCATTTTCTATGTTTGGTACTAAGTGTGCAAAATGGATTTGACAAGAGGAAAATGTAGGTTGTTATCTACCTCTTCCTAGAGCCAAACCTGATTTGTAAACACTCGATCAAACTAATACGAGTATATGGTAAGTCAAGGGACGAACCCAAAGGAATGAGTAGGTGTAAGCTATAGCCTATATGTAGGGAATATTTCAAGCATTACCCCAAATTTGAACCCCACTGTGATAATACACTTAAGCATGGTGGCGTCCAAAGGGAAGGAAGCTAAAGCAAATGAGTTGCCAACAAGTTTTAGGAACTTGTAAACCATTCACAGGGTGAAGGTTACACCCCTTAACGATCCAGGAGATCATTAACTCCAATAGGTCTGGAACCAAGACTGGAAGTTCGGGAATGAAGGTACAAATCCAATCTAAAAGACAAAGAACCTACCCTAATAATAGGCCTCTACTTTATTCTTCTCGTATTCATGTGCGTTTTCTGACTAACATGCCATCAATAGGTTGACCCTAAACCTGTTTAATCTATGTTGGTTGAATATTAATACATAAACAAAACTATTATTGGCGATCACTTGAATTATAATCATATTAACCGTAAACAAGATTATTAATTATCTTATTAAATGTGATTACAGGTATAAATTCCCTTTAAACATGCATAAAAGGTGTGATAACAATAAATATAATCATTAAGCAGCATAATAAATCATCAAAAATAATATTAATCATCATAACAATAATTATAGTAGTTATAAAAATAACAATCATAATAAAAATAATCATGTTAAAGCATAATAATAGCAAGATCCTAGGCATGATACTAACAAGATTAATAACAAACCCTAGCATGTCGCTAAACATCAAAGATCAAAGCTTTAACCCTAACATGATACTAACATGAATATTAGGAAAGAAAACAGGAAGCATTCTTTTAATCATACTTGATATTAGGAATTTTTAGTTGTTACCCTAAACATGATACTAGGAAGCAATAAAACATCCTAACATGATACTAGGAATCAAAATAACAATCTAAACATGATTTCTATGTCATAATATCAATAACGAAATTAAAGCACTTACTTGGATGCCTCGTACATTTTTAATAACAAAATACGTGCGTTAGTAAATTTAAGGAAAATAATAACAAACAATTAAATTAAATAATTGAAATAGAGATTTGGGACCAATCCCTCAGAAATACCAAACCTTTCACGTCTATGGCAAAGGCAACTTCGAACTTGGCTAGGCGTGTCTATTGTTAATGTATGAGGAATTGTGTTTGTAAAAGGCTAGGCTTAGAAAGAGGAAGAGAGAATAAGCTTTAGCTGAGATAGAGAAGAGAATTAGAGAGTTTTGGTTGAGAATTGATGAAGAATGGATGATTATTGATGATTAAAAATGGAGTTCTAAGGACACTATTTATAAATGAAAACAGTCCAAACTTTATAAAAAAGAATCGTAGTTTGAAGAGAAATAAAACACGTCGTTGTCGCCGCAATAGTTCTTGTCGCCGTGCGAAAGGCTTGTCACCAGGCAACAGCCTGGTGTGCGGCGCTGCAGGCAATTTTCCACACGCTTTCATATTTTTTGATAAAATTTCAGCGCAAAAGTCCGTACGAGGGGTAAAATCGTAATTTAATTTAAAACACTTCTTTTATTTCAAATAAAACTCATAAAACTCAATTATCAATGCTAATCACATTAGGATTCAAAAGAACCTTTTAGAAGATTCTAGAAGGCTATAATCAATCCTAATTGCATTAGGAATGATATTCATAATAGGCCCTCCTCTAGATCATTGGGCCGGATATAAAAATCAAACCGGCCCCAGTTTAGTAATTTGGCCATAACTTCCTCATTATTCATCGGAATTGGGCTTATAATATATCGTTGGAAATCTCTTTTCGAGCCCAATCCAACTACACTATTATTGGATTCTTATCATGGACCAAAATAAAATTTATTGGCTATTTTCATAAACTAAAATAGGTTTTTAAAAGCAGAGAGAAAGACGAGAATTTAAAACTAACCGCAACAATAGACTTTCCTCACTTTCACTTCATTCGATTATGATTCAACGCGATAGGCATTCATCACCGGGTTTGGTTTTTGGGAGGACACAAATGGGTGTCTACACTATGTCAAGCTAGTTCTAAGAATGTAGATGGTTATACTTGGTAACTTAAGTATAAAGAAACTAGAGAAATCGGGGAATTGAATACGCTAAACACTAGGGATATAGGTTCTACATGCAAGCTCAATGATTATTCTAATTGATGGATCACTCAATCGATTCAACATCACAAAGGAAAAAAAATAGTTCCAATCAATGGACTCCAAAAGCTATCTCCTATAAGCCAAGCTAGGGTCACTGTGAATGGCTAACTAGGAAAAATCACAATCAAATTCAATCAATTAAAGCAATTCTCAAATCAAGGGTTCATGTCCTTGAAACTTGCAATGCCATCTAGATTAATCTTGTAGGTTGATCACTCCTAGTCTAATTAATTACATGCACCATGTCAACCAATTTAATTGCAACAATTAAATCAATTTAGTATCATCAACTAGCAAAAATCATCAATCAAGCATGCTTCCCCTTCTCCCTGGCAACTAATCTACTCACTAATCATGGTAAAATTAAGAAACAAAAATAAATTCTATCAAAATCATATTCATTTCAAGCTTAATCAAAAGGAAAATCAATCAATCAACAAATTCTAGAGCAAGGAAATGTAATCTAAATCAAAATTCAAGAAACTATAAGGAATTACATTGAAAGTAAATCAAAGGAAATAATTCTTACAAATTATCATTGAAATGAAGAAAGAAATCAAAGATCCAATTGAAATCTAAGATCAAATTAAAGTATTGTAGGGAATAATTTCAAGCGTTAACCCCCTAGCTTGAACCCCATTACACTAAAGTACGGTGGCATCCAAAAGGGAAGAAGATAGAGCAAAAGAGTCGCCAACAATTTTTAGGAACTTGTAAACCGTTCACAGGGTGAAGGTTACACCCCTTAACGATCAAGGAGATCGTCAAATCTTATAGGTCTGGAATCATGACTGGTAGTTCAGGGTTGAAGGTACAAATCCAACCTAAAAGATATTGAACCTGCCTAATAATAGGCCTCTACTTTATTCTGATCGTATTCATGTGTGCATTCTGACTAACATGCAATCAATAGGATTAACCCTAAACCTGTTTATCTATGTTGGTTGAATTTAATGCACAAATAAAACTATTATTGGCGATCACTAGAATTATAATCAAATTACCCTAAACAAGATTATTAATTATCTTATTAAGCGTGTTTACAAGTACAAATTCCCTTGAAACATGCATAAAAGGTGTGATCAAGCAACAAAAATAAATATCAAGCAACATAATAATAATAATCAAAATAATGAAAATCATGATAATAATCATAATAATAATAATAATAATTATAGAAATAATAAAATTATAATCATAAACAAAACAATTATCAAAATAATCATAAATCATGTTAAAGCATAATAAAAATAGCAAGATCCTAGGCATGATACTAAGAAGATTAATAACAAACCCTAGCATGTCACTAAGCAATAGAGATCAAATATTTATCCTTAACATGATACTAGCAATCATAAATATTAGGAAGAACATAGAAGGCATCCTACTTTTAATCATACTTGATATTAAAGTTACCCTAAACATCATACTAGGAATTAAAATAACAACTTAAGCATGATTTCTATATCATAACGTCAATAAAAACCATTAAAGTACTTACTTCGATGCCTCGTACCTCTTTCTAATAACAAAATACACACGTTAGTAACTTCAAGGAAAATAATAATCAAAGCAATTAAATTAAATAATGGAAAGAGAGATTTGGGACCAAACCCTCATAAATTAAACCTTTCACGTCTAGGGCGAAGGCAACTTCGAATATGGCTAGGTGTTTCTAGATCTAATGATGCGGAATTTTGTTTGTAAAAAGCTAGTTTAGAAAAAGAGAGAGAGAGAGAGAGAGTAATCAAGAAAATCTTGATGAGAGTTGATGAACGAGAAGAGAAAACTGGTTGAAGGTGAATGAAAATGGAGTTTTTACGACGTTATTTATAAAGAAAATCAGCCAAAAAGATAAATATATCAAAACAGAGTCTGGCGCACATGAAACAAGGTTGGCGCCAACACTGGCTATTGGCGCCAGACGCTAACCCTGGCGCCAGGCGCCAAGGCTAGCTCCAGGCGCCAAGGCTAGCTCCAGGCGCT